TCGATTTATCGAAATTCCTGTCAAGTGCCCAAGCCATAAGTTCGAGTGCTCGGACGTTGAAAGTCTGGTTATGGAATAAACTAGGCGCTGACTCCCTTTGTTCAGAGCCATCGGAGAGTTGAGAAATACTTAGTTTAGAATGGTTTGTGTTGCAGGGCGTTGCAAATTTTTGTTATTTTTTGAATTTAAAATTCAGATAACATAGTCTGATGTTCCGTGGTTTTGAAAACTTCTTCTTTTACTTGACGCATTAAGCAGTTAAAGCTTGTGTACGCTCGTGTTGTTAAGTTTCCAGGAATGATGGGGCTTAATGAATGATTTAATCATAACAATTACTATTAAAAAATTTCTCAAATCTAATTGGCTATCAAGTGCCCTGATTTCAGCCTTAATAGGAAAATTTAAAGGACAGTACGCGCCATTATGAGCGCCCTTAAATCACTTTTTTCACTGCTAGCAAAAAAAATTAGAATTTCTTCTCTTTTTATTTTCAAAAAGAGCGTTATATATCACAAATTTTGTTAAAGTTATGATTAATTGGTAACAGAACTTCGTGTCGTACAATTCGGTCTGTAATCATACTCGTGATTAAACAAATCGGACTCCCGCTACGCGGTCGTCCGACTTTGTTAATCACTCGTATGATTACTGACCGAACTGGACTCCACTCAGTCCTGTTACCATTACTAATTGTAGGTAGCGTATAAAATAAATTGCTGTTTTTCACTGTCACGCCACTAAAAATAAAGATGTCAATTGATCATAACCGTTTCATACGCTTCTAGCAGCTGCTCGGAAGAGAAGTCACCAACGGTGCCTATTGTAACCATAACCGCAAACAATGTTGAAAGTAAGAAATAAATGTCATTGTCTCCTGCGACCGATTAGAAGAAAACGTACGAGCAGCTCCTAATCAGATTAAATAGCTATAGATAGGTCTATTCGAGATATTTTAGTTAAAGGCCCTATTGAATTGTTGTTTTGGTGGAACCTCCGCATGTAGGCAGATATAGAACTTCTAGTGAATATTCCCCCAGGGCACAATACTTATGCAATAAACTATTTTACATACATTTTTCACAATCGAATATAGGAAAAAAACATGAAAAAGAAAAAAAGAAAAAGTAAAAGACGATGTTCTAATTTATTTTTTCCAAGTTTGCAAGCGGGCAGAATCCTCCAAATCCGACAATCTGGTTGGTTCCGAGAGCGGGCGGTATTTTACGATCTTGCCCGCTAACCCGGGCGGAATCGTTGGCAGCTTCATTCACAACTTTGTTTGTTGTTTGTGAACTACCAAAAACCATCATTTTCAAACCATTTCAGCTTCTTTTAAAACTTGCGCTGTTGATAGCATTAGCTAGGGAAAAGTGAATTTTATTATTCCGGCCAAAAATATAAAGGGAGAATCAAGCAAGTCAGCCAGGAAAACCGCTAAAGTAAAGCAAAACAGGTGGCTGGTGATGTCGCCTCGCTAGCTTTATAACAGGGCTGTAAGTAATTCAATCTTGCTTTCATGTACCGTTTATTGGACATTTTTGCTCTGTTTGTAGTTTTGTTTTTCATTTTTTCTGTATGAATCTAGATTCTGTAGTTTTCCATTGAATTTTGCCTCCCTAGTATTCTACTTATCAGAAAAGGTTGTTGTCTATATGATTGCATTTAGCTTTCAATCTTGAATAAACAACACGAATCACTTTTTCGGCAGTCGGTTATCGCCGTTTTCATGTCTTGTTACTCACATCGTCTTCTTTTATTCGGATTCAGTTCAAAACCGTGAGATTGGTATGTGTAATTAGTTCCTTTGTGCAGTTTTCATACCGCTCGATTGAACTAATCTTAAAGCAATTTTTGAATTAATCAGCCGAAGAAAATCCTTGCTGTATTTTTTTCCTGGGGCTTTTAATATCAAGCTCGTTAATAGACCTTGTCACGGTTTTCGACGCCATCTGGACGAGTAGGCAAACGCGTGAGAAATTACATTGTTTGTATGAGAATCTAATGTCGAATAGTTTCCGTAAAACGGCTGTTCTGAAAAAAATATCAATTGTAAACTAAAGCTACAAAGCAAAGGATTGTCCTAAAAAAATTTGGGGAAGTACCTGTGCTTAAATTCCTCCAGAGGCTTGCTTTAGATTCTCCATATGTTTGTCTGTAATTTTCCCGGGACTTTCTTACAGACAAATGTACAAAAAATTTTAAAAAGTGGTTCTAGGTCTTCTAGTGCATGTAACGCCCTCAAATTTTTTTCAGGAGAATCCTTAGGAGTGAAGCTTTAGTTTAAAAATCATATTGTTTTCAGAACAGCCGTTCTACGGAAATTATTCGACATCAGATTCTCATACAAACACCGTAATTTCTCACGCATTTGCCTACTCGTCAAGATGGCGTCGAAAACCGTGACAAGGTCTATTCTTTTATCCTTGTTTGACACTTAGCCTGAATTGTCTAACAAGACACAAAATCCTTTCTTTATTCTAAAAGAGAGCAGTAAGTGCCAAAATATAAATTACCGAGCTATATCACGCTGTAATGTTTTGTTTTGGTTTGCAATCGATCGCGCGCTTCATCAACACGAACGTGTCCTACTTCAACACTCATACGTTGGGTGGTGAAGGAAAATTTTCCTGAAACTTTCTCAGTAGGAAAAAATAAAAATGTTATTTATCGGCCTAGGTCGGTCCATATTGGGAGAAACTGTGCCTTCTGTCTGAGTACCGCCGGTACTCAAGACCTCGGGCACAGTACGTTCCTCAGTCCCAATACGGACCTCCCAGCCGATGAATAACATATATAACTAAAACAGAACAATGTAGCTTCAAGGAGTATGTATCAAGACACACCTAGCCTAGAATTCACTTACTAGACAGTTAAAGAAGTTTGGCCGGTATCTTTTGAATTGCTCTAAGCGCTTTGCTCTGTGCCAACCGTATAAGATAGCGCTTTCAGATTAAGTTAGTTTTTGATTAAATTTTTCTTACCACCAGTTATTTGTGTGGCTAAGAAAATAGACTGGTTAATCATAATATCGACAACTTCGGTAAAAGTCGATAAATGTCGATTGGCCACAAATTTTTCGAATATCTCTATTAGTTTATCGATTTATTAGACGATATTGGTATTCCCCGACGGCCCTGGGACGAGAGGCTTCACAGCATGATTGCGAGGCTAAAGCGGGGAACTTTTTGGCAAAAACACAAACAAACATTGGTTAGTGGCGGCTGAACCGCTGCAAAACGATAGAAATCAGCAAAAAAACTGCAAGATTTAAAATGTGAAACCTTGCGGGTAAGCTAAAGGGATATCTGTTTCAAAAAAACAAAACTGTGGGAATAGCTGGTTGTACTAACAGCAAAAGTTAAAAAGCCACGAAGCCAAAAGAAGAAACAAGAAGTAATCAAGAAAATGTAACTTAAATTTAAAAATAAACTTCACCTAGTCATCTTTGTTCAAACCAGTTTAACTTCCTTAAAATGCACATGGACTGTGTGCAAAACGCTAAGCCCCGCCCTGATAAGTAATCATCCACTGAATGAGTCGTTTGGTTTACTTCAAATACACATTCAAGATTTTGCATCCGCTCTCTTAGAAAATTTCAACTGCAAAGTAGGTGTGATAACATCGCTGTTAACTTTATCGCAGGCTTTAAATAATTACGTGCATTTCAATAAAAGATATTCTTCAAAAAGTTTAAAGGACACTGAAATTTACAATTAAAATGTCTTCGGGGATTTTGAGAACATCTCTGTTTATATTAAATTATAAACTCGCTCGCCAAGCACTCTTCTTATCAATATAATTATGGTTAGGATCGCCGTTTTTCTTAGTAACAATGAGCAGATCTTCCTTTTATTGTTTGAAATAATGATCTCTCAAGTATGTAAGCCCTTCGGAACTTTACAATGTTAAAATTTTCCTGAAACTCGGTAAAATCAGCCGCAGTTTTCTCATATTTATTTGCCCTCTTGGCGAGAAGTTCCCCACATGAGCCTCGCATTCATGATCAAGGCCTACTTGTCCCAGGACTGTCGGAGAAGTACGAATTTATCGAATTTATCCATTACCCTTGTCTGGTATACAATCAATGCAATCATGCGGACTTTTTTGTTTGTCTTCTCAAAAAAATAAAACATACCATGTCGCACAAAATTTTTGTGATTTGCAGGAACTAATTTTTGCTTATGAGGACAGATTGTTTTTTTCTTTCTCTGGGAATTAATTTTTGCGATTTTCAGAAAGTACCCAGTACCCAGCATTGATTATGTTTTTGTTTTTGTTAAGTACGTGCAATGGAAATAATACTACGGTATGCGCACCCATGTAAAACCAGTAATTCATTGTATACCGTTCTGTTTCTGAATGAAAGTTACAGACAAGTTGTAATTGAACAGAAACGAGGCTTGGTACCGTATTTTTGTCTAGCGAATTTAAATTAGAAAATATTTACTCTGGAGTAAATTTTTGGGGGGAAAATGTTTGCTGTAATTTTGTATTTTTGTATATTTTTATATTTTCTATTCTGGGAACTTATTTTTGCGGATCGCTGGAAAAATCGCAAAAATTCAAACCCCAAAAATTTCGTGCCACACGTTATTGGGGACACACTGAGAAAACGTCAAAAGTAAACTTACAGTAGCCTTTTTGAGAAACTTTAAGGCCACTTCCATGGGACCACCTGGTTTGCAAATCTCAGAGAGAAAGGCTACTTCCCTTTTCTTTCTTGTGTTCTCATCAAGATTAACGCTTTCCAGCACACCTGTGTAAATATTAAAATCGTGTTGCATTCAATAAGTACATGTAGTACGAAATTTTCCAGTCGGAAACAACTAATTTCCGATTTAAGGCCCCCAAAATTTCATGAAGCAAATAATATTTTACCGGTTTTGGAAACTCTTCTTCTTTTTTTGTTTAACAAGTCTTTTTAGCACGATTCTCTGTCGTTTCTCAGCCATTTTTACCCTTTTGAAATGTGAACATGAACACGGTATTTTCATTGACTGTGATTTCAGAATGAAGGAAATGGCATCTAATAGAAGCACCTGGCTTGAGATTTTTCACAGGGGAGAAGGCCCCTCGACCCCCCTCGAGTGTCGCGACTTTGGCACAAGCCGCTTCTAAAACCTCCCTCTTTTTAGTTGACAGGGTTGGATTCTCTGCAAGTGTCTGTTGTCTGTCTTAGAGAGGTCCGTCATATACGGAGGTGTCCTTTAAGAGAGAGTTGACTATAAACAACATTTATGTGCTTTATAGTTATCCGGTACGCCAGTTGTTTTAAAAGGAGGGTAACGCTATCCACTGGATAAATCACTGTCGCCAGTGGTTCCATAACACTTATCCGCTGGATAGAGCTATCCAGCGTTTTAACAATCCGGAATTATGCCTGCTTGCATATGTCACAACAAAGAATGAAATGGTAGCTCTGCGACCTTGCGATTACTCTAGATGTAATGTTTAAACTAATTATATTTCCTCGTTGTTGTAGTATTACCTCTGAATCTTTTAAACTCCTCGGTATCTGTTTTGACCTCGTTCGGGCTCAAGAAAAAAATTTCTGGCGAGTTTGGGTTGGGGTTAACACCTATTTCCTGACCGATCATGAGATTATTTGTTGCTTTGTTCCACATGTCTTGGCATACACTCCGGCCAAGATCAACCACAGCACTTCAGAGATAAAAGCAAATTGATATTCGGTTAAAATTGATAATTGATAATTCAATTGATATTCAGTTAAAATTAATATTACTTTGGAAACTTCTTATATCTGTTTTTTAAAAAAAAGCATGGAATAACTTTTTCTCTCGCCACAGGAAATCCTTGCCCTGGTCTAGCCTTGCCATTCCATGTACCGGTATGTAATTGTTTCTACACGACCCCACAAGCTATGAGCTTTAATTAAATCCTATCTTTTTTTGTATAAAGGATATAGAGAATACTTCATGGAAAGTGCTGGCGTACGGTATTTACGCACGAGTTGTTGACGTATCAGAAATCGAACGAGTGAGCTCAGCGAACGAGTAAGATTTCTGAGACAAAAACAACGAGTGCGTAAATACCGTACAAAGCACTTTTCATGTGCTATTGTGTTTATTATATACATACTGAGACATTCATCATTTTGGCGGCCTTTTTATTTCAAATCTCTCAAAAATGCTAAAATTTGCCGCTACACACTTACTGCAAAATGACAACGAAAACGAAGCATCAGCTTTTCAGTAAAAATGTTTGTTAAAACATAAATGACGGTAAGGATATGAGGTAATCCAAGAACTGTAAGTAATCTTAACTGTTTGTTCTCAATGCACAGTTGAAAATGAGTGAATTTAAGTAAAATGGCTGGTTTCAATATAAGCTTAAGCTTAAATGAAAGGCAAAGTAGCTCCGACAAAAAGCACAACAAAAGCTTACGTCTCGTTCTGTTTTTCCCTTTCCGCTGTTGTTTCGCCGGTTCTCTACCGTTTTCTTTATCGACAGTGAAACAAACGAAACTATTCCACTCCATTTCCGAAATGTTTTTCACTTTTTTAGCGAGAAAAACTCTTTGAGTAAAACTTTTCTCGTTGAATGTGTTCGAAGCGGCGCTGCAAGCTGCAATAAAAGGCGCGAAACTCACACACCTCTGTGGCTTCTGATTGGACGTATCATTTTTTTCACGTTTGAAAACCATCTTTCGCTCCTCTGATTGGCTAGAACTAATTTGCGAACGAAAATTTACGACGTAGCTTTTTGGTGAGTATTTCTCAGTATGTATATAATAAAAAAGGGTAAGGGGTTGGACCTCGGGGGCTGAGCCTCCCCCATACAAAGTATAAGCTGATTGTTGACTGAAATTCTGTGCAAACAATGCAACCGGCTCCGTGTAAAAACCACAATTCAAATAAACATCGCCAACCAGACAAAACCTTAAAAGGCAGATTGACAAAATCGTTTTAGAGGCAAATGAGGAAATGACGTCAAAAATGCAGCGTTCTTATAGGTTAAGGCACCGTGGGAACGAGGCTGAGTTGTTTTGGTTGTGAAAATAAAAATGGCGGACACTTCACTCGTTTCAAGAGTGAAAACTACAGCTTGAACTAGGCGTAATAATAGCAAAAAACATGGCAAAAACAGCAAGAAGACAACTCGGAGGGCGATATCTGCTATTTGGAGAATATTTGCGGAGCTGGACAAACCTAGGCACACCATCGAAGACGAACTTAACATCGATGCAGGTAAGCATGTTTAGTTATGTTTTTAAACTAAGAATTATTATAAGAAGGTGTTATCCACCTCGGCCTTCGGCTTCGGTGGATAACACTGTCCTCGATCTGCTTAATTCTTCATATCCTACTCAGCCTCATTCATTAATTGCTAATTATTTGGCGACCGTTGTTCAATTAGCAAATCTTGATTGTTCTACTTTAAAAATAAAAAGATTTCTTAGAAAAGAAATAGTCTATTGTAGCCTAACGCTCGATGAGTACGGTAAAAAAGACAAACGCATTTATTAATTTGTCTGACGCCCTTAACGTCTTCTGTGAAGTGCGTGTGTAAAATCGGGACGACGTAAACTAACAACTTGGAAAAATAAGTGTTGTTGTTGTTGTTGTTACAATGTTGTCGTCTACTTCAATTTACTCGTCCCGTTTTAAAAACGACTTCAACGTCTCTAGCATAAAAAACTAGAGATGTGAATTTTTGTCCCAGATCGACTTCTTTTTATTTTCGGAGAGGTTTAAAATTAGCACGGCCCTTTTGCCGATCGCTTTTATTACGACATAGGCACGTTTAACGAGCATGATCTGATTTTTTTGTCAGCTCACTTGATTCTTCTAATTTTACTCACTAACTCTATTGTTCTAGAAACGTTAGCATCCTTACGAAAGCTACTGGATAATTTGAACACGTTTTAATTCTTTGGTTCTTTAGCAGCAAGCATAAAGTAACAAGTCGCAATGCCTAACCTTTGAGATTACGCCGGATTTCAGCCACCGCAAAATTTTAGCTCATATGCACGAATAAAAGTTTAAGTGTCTTCATTTTGAATTTCCACACTATGTCCACGAATTTTTTCAGCTTAACGTAGAATTATTCAACGAGAGAATCAATTGCTCAGCTTGTTAGCCCACAAGTTTGCATTACGATTTGCGGCCTTATAGGAGCTTCACCTTGGCTTCTCTTCGTACAGCGATATGGAAAAAAAACCTTTTTAAAACTCTGTTTGCAAGTTACCAGGTTAACAAAAAGAACGCAAAATAAACTGAAACTGTTAATTAGCTCTGATTTTAACAAGGTATATATACTGCAAATCCGAGAGGAAGACCTTCCACTGCGGTTTAAGATGTTTGTTTAGGCAAGGGAAAAGACCTTGTAAATTTCATCGTTCAATTCCCCAACCCTTAATTTAATTCTTTATAAACTGTATTTCAAAGTCCATTTCCTGAGTCCGTTTTCTCATAATATCCACTAAGATAGCTATTTAATAGCCGTAATATACATAGTACGTGACGAACAAGTGCTCTAAACAGGTTTTGCCGATCCGAGATTTAGACCGTCTTAACTAAGGACGATTCACGCAAAAACTGAATTCATTTTCCAAGCATGATTCTCTATGTACAAGAGCATGAAAAGATAAAGTGGTGCAACGTAAAAAAGCTTACAACTGATCTACTATCCATCTGCGTAGTAAAATCAGTTGTGGAAAATTCGACATGTCTAAACGGCGATGAATTGGATTCTTATCATGACACTTATAGGAGACAAAATGTTACCAAAAAGTCATCTGTTTCTTGGAAAAACAGCGAACATGAAGAGTAGAAATGTAATTGCAGCCATGATGATATCGACTTTTTGTTTTCCAGAAAGGTCCTGTATTCAGTGAGTGAGGCATCGACCAAGTAAGCTGAGCTTCAATTTGAACAAACTACTTATGAACATGTCTCACCATTACCTCACTTTGTTGCGTAAATAATTAACCATCCTGACGCCCCATTAAGTTTTATTAATTATTTATTGTAGGTACCATTTCTGTTCCTCTAATAAATTGTTCAATTGTTCAGTAAAATTAAAAATAATAATAATAATAATAAAATCCTGCTAAAGGTGCTTTCTGTCTGAGGTCATTGACTTGATTTTCTCCTGAGAGAAAACAATTTTAAAATGACAAAAGCTCCAGTACCAACAGTATGAAATAGAGGATAATAATAAATAACAATAATAATAATAATAATAATACTTTAATTATCCTCTTCCCTTGTTGGACTTTTCAGGGATAATGAAACAAATAATTTTAATGGAACATAATACTAGTTAAGAATCCTAGCTGGTAGGCGGCAAACCAGTTGGTTATATTACCAGCATGGCCGAGGATTTGAACTCAGGACTACTGAGAACAAATCCAGCAAGAGATCAATCAGTGCGGGACTTCAACTCGGGGCCTTTGAATTACAAGTCCAGCTCTCTACTCGGCCACACCGCCTCCTTAACCATAATTTAACATTGGTTAACTTTAATTCGACAAGTTCTACACACCGTCAAATAGAAATTTTCTTTAATTTTGGAATTGAAATAACAAAACAAGTTAATTAGGAAACAATTAACGTAATATGTATTCATTACTAGCGATCACCTGTTGTAAGCGACCACTTGAATAATCGTCTTGTCTCTCAGCTCAGTCAAATACTGATTCAAAAACTCTCTCGTAAGCGACCTGACTCGAAACAAAAGACCGCCACCGCTTTTTAAACCAGAAATTTGACATTCTATTTTGTTTTCTGTTTCCCGTAAGCGACCTCCCGGCATTTTTACGTATGATTGTTGGATAACTATTCCTGCTAATGACAAAAATGGTCAGTTTGGGGGCTGACCAACGGTGCTGACAGGTTATGGCAGTTGACTTACAAGAAAGATAGCTGTAATACGATCTATAGGTAAAAAGGTGGATGGTAACGCTGATGCAAAGTTAAGTACAAAGTTTCAACAGTTCCAAACGCATCAATTCAGTTTTTAATTTGTCGAGCACCGAGGGACAGGTCGCATACAAGAGCGTAGTTGACTGTATTACATAGTTAGGTTTAAAGAAGAACTGAGGACAGCATTTCAAAAGGGTCGTCCGTAGACTAGTCACGGAGACAAAATAACCTGTTGAGATTTGAGCCCTGCGCTACAAATGCGTGCTCTTTGTTTTAAAACTGAAAACAGAAATATGCAGCGCAAATTCTCACATGAACTGCAACGAATTGAAACTTACATACGGACTGATGAAATAGTTTTACTAGAGCCGGATGTAAGCTCAGCAGACCTCAGCAGGTACGTTTAACTCATAATGAGAGACAATACACTGAAAGAGAGTAATAACTAATCTAAAAAATAAAGAAGACTGTGAATAAAGGTTAACCTGGCAAACGCCGGCTTCCCACGGCTGGACAGCTCTATTTAACCCACAAAATTTAACAAGCAGGGTTACCCAGGGTGCTCTTCAGTGATTCACTGATGGCATTACCAAACCGGCCAGTCAGGAACTTTTTGAACTAACCCTGAGAGAAATAAAATGACAGATGTAGACTAGATGCATTAATCGATTTAGGCAAAGTTTCCAACTGGATCGAAACGTTCCATTTGCGTTTCGTCTAAGATTACTTCTTAACGAGGTGAGACTCAGAAACCGAGAATTTTAGGAAATGGCGCGGAAAACGACCATCTCTCGAAGTGGACTACTTTTTGCGGAAAATTTCCACGCGGACCAAAGTGCTTCCTTTACATTTCCACCGTAATTTCCGGAATTTTAGCATAATGGAACAATCCCCTGAATCTACAAGCTTGATTAACGCGTTTCGTAAAGTCGTGAAAAGCACCTTTAAACTCACGGAAAACGGTACAAACATTATCATCAGCTACATGCAGAAAAGACCCACTATGATTAAGTTATTTAAAATTTAGCTAAAACTTGGCGATTACTGGTCACCCATACAATGGAGCAAAATTTTTCCATGTAGGAGACTCATCCCTAACGGAGCGTTTACAAGGAAGAGAGGGTAACCCTACAGGTACCTGCAGCTTGTAGAACTCTTAGAGATAAGTTCCATTAGCCACAATTTATAATTTAAAGCAGCTTTTAGCAGTTATCAGGTTAACAAAAAGAACGCAAATAAAACTGTTAATTGTAGTTCCGATTTAAACAACGTATATATACTGCAAATCCGAGAGGAAAGACCTTCCACTGCGGCTAAGATGTTTGTTTAGGCAAAGGAAAAGACCTTGTAAATTTCATCGTTCAATTCCCCAACCCTTAATTTAATTCTTTATAAACTGCATGTTAAAGTCCATTTTCTGAGTTCATTTTCTCATAATATCCATTAAGATAGCTATTTAACAGCTGTAATATACACGGAAAACGGTACAAACATTATCATCAGTTACATGCAGAAAAGACCCACTATTGTTAAGTTATTTAAAATTTAGCTAAAACTTGGCGATTACTGGTCACCTATATAATGGAGCACAATTTTTCCATGCAGGAGACTCATCCCTAGCGGAGCGTTTACAAGGCAGCCAGGGTAACCCTACAGGTACCTGCAGCTTGTAGAGCTCTTAGAGATAAGTTCCATTAGCCACTATTTATAATTTAAAGCAGCTTTTAGTCTCTTTTTAACAGGTAATCTGCAGGGCAGATATTCTGGAGTCATAAGAGTTAAATGTTTCGCGCTGTTCTTGTTTTTGTTAGTTTTCCTATAACTCCCAGTTCAGTCCCCTAGCACATTCGATTCAATTCCAGAAAAAGCGAAGAATGCGGTGGTGCATGCGGTGAAATTACATGCTGTCTCCTGTTTCACTCTGTGGTTGTTGAAACGATGTCAGTAAAGAGAATCGTCATCGCAGACTTGAACTTGTGCACTAGCCAAACGTTGTCTGAAAATATTCAAGCTAGTCATGACGAGAATTCGAATCCTGCACGACCTCTACGATCGGCTTCAAACCAACTAGAGGACTGGTCACTCCGCTGGCTGCTAGGTTGGTCACGTATAATCGTGAAGGGCAAGGGTGTAAAAAAGAATATATGAAAATAATATATAGACGAAACCCCAGCTTTTGCAAAATAAAAACCTGACAATATTCAGGCTAGTACGGAGTATCTTGACGTCTTGAAAAAAAAATCTGTTTAGTTTGCACGAATAGATCCTGGACCCTTTTAATCAGTAAAAAAGGACAATTGGCAGCAAAGACTGAAAACGGCTCGGCCATGTGCGAGTTGTCTGATCTGTTAAAAAAAATGACAAAGTATTTTCCATTCATCACAATTAATAATTCAAATTCAAATTCTACTTAAAATCAATTTTACTGGCTCTTCATCTGCTGCCACATACGAATGTTCATGTGACGAAAGGTTTCACCGTACTTGTCTTCACAAAAGAGAAAAATTGCTCATAGTTTTATGTAAAAATAAAGGTTTTATCATTGAAGTCCGAAAGTATCGTCTGAAACCTTTTGAATACTTTGTTTAAAATTTCTTCGTATCAATTAAAGTGTTGCGCCGTGAGCGGTTCTTAAATATGACAAAATTTGATTTGTGTAGATAACATATATTCAGTTAAGTTGAAAATTGTAAAATCGACGCTTTTCAAAAGAGTTTTAACGGACGTTTCGGCAATGCTGCCTTCTTCAGCGTACCAGACTAAATACGCGCGGTCATATGTGGCACGCGGGCGAGTATGCAATCGGACACGTGAGCTACTCCTTTTTAACGGTATTTAAGAGAGTGTCTCTGTAAGAGCGGTCCGGTCGATTTTCCTTGAGACACAGATTTAGCTCATTTCTTGTGTGTTGTAAGACATTCATGTACCTATACTAAAACCACAATCCGTTTGATCGGATCTCTTTATTTTTCAGAGTTTTACGGAAATTAAATTTCCCTCGAGCGAAGGCCTGTCGTGACACTTTTCAAGACGTTAATTTGAGGCAACTTTGCCGGACAATTTACAACAAACTACGGAACTCAGCAAAAAACAAATACTACAGCCATGTATATTAACACTATCTTATCCATCGAGGCGACATTCGTGAACATCACGTTTCAATCAAGCAAACAGGAAGACTTGAACGACACCTTATCGGTTCGCTTAAGTCACACACGCGAAAACCGATCAAATTCAAGGTACATTTTTGAAAAAGTGAGGCGTTGTTAACTGATCCAACTAATATAGCTAGGAAGTAGGTGCCATAGAAAAGGTAACTACGGAAAAAAACTTTGCGGCCCGACCTTTACTAAAACTTTATAACTGCGTGAACTTACCTCATTTTCGGCAACCTCCAAGTTTTGCCGCCATTTTGAGGGACTTGTCAATATGAAGCGTAGCAGATATAAATCGAGCAGGTAGATCTAAAACAGTCAGAAATATATACGAAAGCATTCAAATGAACTTCACTTTCAATTCAAGGGGCAAAATTTGTCACTGTTCGTTAAACCTACCATTCCTACATCCCCATGCGACCATTTCTTCCAACAATTCAAACACTACAACTAGTGACCACTAGTGTTCGAATTTCCCTTGTCGATTCCACCGTAAGAAATAACCTGTGCCCCCCAAGCTTCGACTCGAATGTGAAGTACGAATCAAACAAATAACTACGTCATCTTCGAGGCCATATCACGCTGGTATTTTGATTTTCTGATCGACAAGAACGGTGATCAGGAGGTGATCGCCATGTTTACCTCATAAAGGTGACCGCTGACCAGCCGCGGAATGAAAACAGTACGGCGCAGGGTGGTGTGGGTGGCGGACTTATCGTGATAAGATATTCGAATACACGCTAAAAAAGCTTTAGGACTCTCAGTCTAAACAGTGAAGGCATGCTTCATGGTACAGACAACTTTTATTTTATCCTCATAACTTTTTCCTTTAAATT